AGTTCGCGCGCCGCTGTCATTTTTGGTCGCGTGCCGCAAGTCGCGCACCGCGCATTTTTTCCCGGAGCGCGCGCCGCAGGTCGCGTGCCAAACATTACAGACAAATGCGCGCACCGCAGGTCGCGCGCCGCTGTCGGTTCTGGTCGCGCGCCGCTCACCACGATTCAGGGCGCGCGCCACAGGTCGCGCACCTAGTCGTTGCAGACACGGTCGCGCGCCACAGATCGCGCACCTCTGTCCATTCTGGTCGCGCACCACAGGTCGCGCGCCATTGCCGTTCAGGGCGCGCGCCGCAGGTCGCGCACTTATTGATTTTATACGAGGTCGCGCGCCGCAGGTCACGCGCCAGCGCCGATCTTCTGCGGGGACTGCCGCAAACAATTGCCTGAGCAAAATAATCGGTGCCTCGTTTCTTTCCCATTCCTCCTCCTCTTCCTCTTCGCCCTTCCCCTCCTGCTCTTCCTCCTCGTCCTCGTCGTCATCCTCCCCCCCCTCGCCCCCCCCCCCCCCCCCCCCCCCCTCTTCTTCTCCTCGCGCAGCTGGATTGGAGGGGAAGGGCGAGAAACAGGGGGAGGAGGGGTCTTTCTCAGCCGAGCATCGAATCCTCGTGCGTTTGTGCCCGCTCTCTCCTCCTCCCCCTCGTCGCCCTCCTCTGCTTCCTCCGTCGACGTCGTCGAAACCGCTGCCGTCGTTGTCCGGCAACGGCGAGGGGTGGGAGGGGATGCGGGGGAGGATGGCGCGGGGGGAGGGGGGGGGGGGGGCGATGCTGGGTGGGCTGATGAGGGGGAGGGGGATATTGATGATAGAACTGAGGTAAGGGAATGGGATGAGAGAGGGCGGATAAGGATGATGAGGCTGACAGGCGAGGCAGGGCGATGGGGGATGATGGCGATGGGGAAGAGGGGGAAAAGGGCGAATATAAAAGCCATATGCCTCTTGAATGACTCTCGGGATCTCCTCCGACTCTTCATGGGAGCGAACGGACGAGGGCGAGGTCCACGGGGGGAGGGGGGGGGGGGGGGCGGAGGACGAGGAGCATGCAGATAAGGGAGGGCGACGATGATGAGGAGGAGGGGGAGAAGGAGGAGGAAGAGTAGGCCACGCAGGAACGATGCCCGGGCGCATTGCCCCGATCAAGAAAATGACGGGAGGGGGGAATTCAGAGCGAGGAGGGGGAAGGATGATGAGAACGCAGAGAAAAACAAGGGAGCGGATCTGGGGCATGGAGAGAAGGACAGGAAGGGGGATAAACATCATGCGGATGAGGATGAGGAGGAGAAGGCTGAGCATGGGATGGGGCATGATGATTAAGTTGATGGGGGTGACGACGACGATGGCGATGGGGATGAGGAGGGGGGACATGGCGAGAAGAAGATCCGGACACCTCGTCTTGAATGCGATGCCTCTCGGGGAGAGCCAGAAGCCTGTTGAGTGCGATGCCTCTCCGTGCCTCTTCGGATGTCTCTTGGCCGGCGAAGAGCCGTCTTTGCGCGTTTCGCGTTCATGGGAGATCTAGCCGGTTCCTGTTTGCCCACTAGCCCATGCAGGAACGATGCCCAGGCGAGTTGGGGCGAGTTAGGAATGGCGGGGGCAAAGAGGTGGACAGCCGACCCGTGCGAAAGGGAAGGAAGATAAGGAGGAGACAAGATGGGTGGATGAGGATGTGGCGAGAAGGAAGATGCATAGGCTGGATAGGATGATGATGATGCGGAGGAGGGGGGGGGGGGGGGGAAGATGAGTAGGATGAGCAAGGGGGGCAACAAGAGGACGGCGAACAAAAGAGCCAGACACCCTTTGGATCCCTCTCGGTGCCTCTTGGATCTCTCTTGGGCGCTTCTTGGACGCCTCGTGGGGCGTCTTGGGGGTCTCCTGGCGTTCCTGGGGAGCCATCGGGCATCTCGGGCGCCTTGGGGGGGGCCTCTTGGGGCCGCTCAGGGCCCTCTTGGGGGCCTCTTGGAGGCCTCTCGGGTGCTTCTTGAGGCCATCATGGGGGCCATTGTGGAACCATTGTGGGGTCTCTTGGGGCACTCTCGGGCCCCTCTTGGGGCTCTCTTGGGCCAGTTTGGAGCTATCTTGGGCCTCGGATGGCCGTCGGGAGCGAATCGGTGATAAAGCGCAAGTCATTGGTTGCCCTATGGTTTTTGAAGGATTCATGCCTCTTGGAGGTCCCCTTGGGAAGCCATTTGGCGTCTTGGAGCCGTCTTGGGGCGGCATTGGGGCATTTTGGAGCATCTTCGGAGCCATCCTGAGGCATCTTCGGCTATCTTGAACCATCTTGGAACTCATTGGGCTCTCCGAGGCGCTCTTGGGGCTTTCTTGGGCCATCTTGGACGCTCTGACCGCGCGCGGCGCCCCCCCCCCCCCCCCCCCCCAGGCCCTGGGGGGGGGGGGGGCGGGGGAGATGGGGGGGGGGGGGGGGGCGGAAGAGGAAATCCTTTAAACCACGTGCGCCCAGAGGGCTGGCGGGATGAACTACTGCTACTACTACTACCACGGGCTTCGTGCACCTGTTGGCGAGGCGAGGCCGGCCCCGAGGACTTCCGCCTCTTCTGCGGGGGGCCCGAGGCTTTCGCCGAGCGCGGAGCCAGCGCGGGCGCGGTCGTCACCGACGCCGCCGCGCTCTGGCTCAAGCTCAGGGGCGAGGAGCGCGCGCGCGCGCGCCCGCGAGACAGGTCTCGGCGCGAGCGAAATGAGCGCGGATGGAAAGGGCACAGTGCCCAACCTCAGTTCTTGTTCATGTTGAACGGGATTCGCTGTCGGCGTCGCCGCGGCCTGCGCCCATTCGGGGCAGAAGGCCGCCTCCCCAACAACGGCCGCTGTTGGTTCGGCACAGCAGTTGTTGCGGGGCATTGCGCACGTGTTTTTCGGCGCGCATTTCGAGCGCCCAAAAGGTGCGCCGCGCGGGCGCCAAAGAACGCATCGCGAACCTCCGCAAGAAGTCCCGCGAGACGCGCAATGAGCAGGACAAGGCAGCCTTCGAGACGGAGAAGGCCAAGTGCTTAGCGGACCGCCCCGACCCCAAGGAGCAAGTGGAACAGGTCTAATTTGACGCAGGAAACAAGTACAGGATCACCGTGATCAGCGTCTCCGCGGTCGGGAACTGGTTCGGCCCGAGCAGGGGGCCGAGGTCCGCCGAGAAGCGCAGCGCGTTCCATGTCCCCATGCGCAGGGCACTGCTGAGTCAGCGACGTGAACCTCGAGGAGAGCACCTACCGGCGAGACGTCACCTACGAGCGGAGCGATTGCGAGACGGAGCGCTTCCGAGCAGGCGAACCCCTAGGAGCGCTGCTCAAGGGCCGGCGCAACGCGCAGCTCGTTCTCCGAGGCGGAACGCGCGAGGGTCTTCGAGGCCATCGACGCGCGGGGGCAGCCGAGAGCCTGGGCGGACGAGCTGGTGGCAAGCTGCACCATCGACTTCATCGAGCAGGAGCGCGGCCAGAGCCTCGTGTTCGCAGACTGCCTCTCGAGCCAGTGGGCCGAGGCAGCGTCGCTGCGACCGCGGCTCAAGAGTATCATCTACGCGCCCATGGCCCTCGACGTCGCGATCTTCTTGCAAGGGCTCGACGCCCGCGAACGCAGCCAGCTCGAGGCCAATATCCGAGAGGTCAAGGCCGAGGCGCGCTGGGCCACGGGGCAAGACTGGGGCTAGAAGGCCAAGGCCGAGCCCCGCAAGTCCCCGACGCAATGGGGGCCCTGCGAGCGCCTCTACTGCGTCTCCGAGGCCTGCACCCGCTTCCGCGAGCAGAACAAGGACGCGGTGCCGCTCCAAGGGCTGCAAGCCAACCAGATGCTCGTGCTCTGGCCGACAGAGCAAGGCGAGCTCAAGGTCGTCGCGGGCATGGGGCCGTGGAGCTACTCCACCGGGGCCGGCCGCGGCGTCGAGAACAGCCTGGCGGAAGGGCGCTTCGTGGGCGCCCCGAGCTGGCCCGAGGGCGCGCCGCCAGTGCCCGGGTGGAGCGTCCTCGACCGCAGCTGCTTCCACAACGACTACTTGCCGAGGGACTACGAGGACGGCGAGAACCCCTGCCTCCTGGAGCCCCGAGAGCTGGACCTCGAGCTCATCGGCGATCAGAAGGGCGCGCTCAAGCCGCCCGAGGAGCGGATCAAGGAGAGCAAGTTCCCGCGCGCCCTCGAGAACAGGATCAAGCCGGCACGGACAATTAAACGCAAGAGTAAGTGGGCGCCCAAGGTCGCGGGCCAGTTCCTGGGCAAGCACGCTCGCAAGTGGCAGCGCGAGAAGGGCAAGGCTGGCGGCGAGACCTCGCTCGAGCATCTCAGCAAAGGCGCGGCCAAGGCGAAGCTCGCAGGCAGGCCGCCGAAGGCGCGCGCGAGCTTCTCCAAGAAGTTCGAGCAGAAGAAGCAAGCGGGGAAAGACGCCAAGAGGCAGGACAAGGCCAAGCAGAAGGGCGGCCTCGAGAGGCTTGCGAGGAGCCCCCCTGGCACGGCAAGATGGCGCGCATCACCGAGGAGGGCCGCCGCGAGGGCAGGCGCGGCAGAGTGCAGGACGTCTGGGCGAGTCCCGGGCACCGAGAACGAGTGCCGCCTGCGCGTCCTCGAGGCGGAGACCGCGGCGATTTTCCAGATCAGCGCCAGCGAGGTTTCGAGGGTCACAGGCACCCGTTAGTTTCCGCTTGTTTCTGCTGGGGGCGGCGGAAGCAGGCCGAAGTTGGCAGACAGGACAGGCGGAGGCAGGCGGAAGCAGGCGGAAGCAGGCGGAAAACCTTGACGGCTCAAGACGGTTGCGTCGCAGCGACGGTCGTGCCAGGTCGCAAGTCCTGGCCAGTGCTTGCCCCCCTTAGTCGGCCGCGCCATGTGGGCAGTGGGGACACGGTGAGGGGGGAGTGCTTCGAGGACCATTGCGAGGTGAGCGTTCGCGGGGTGCCCGACCCGCGAGGACGGCAACACCGTGCTGGGCTGAGGTGGTTGCTGGAAAAAGGGCGCACGGGCGATGCGCGGCAAGCGTGCCTTGAGGCGAGCAGCGCGGCTCGCGCTGGTGGCAGGCGTGGCATGGTACCGTGGACAGAGGATCACGCGTGCCTCAGCCGCGCAGCTGGTCACTCCAGAGACTGTCGCGGAGTTGACCCAAGTGCCACATCGAGCTGGCGATAGTGTACTGGTGAACATGAAGAGGGATGACGAACAGCAAGCGCAGCGAGCCACATGGAAGCAGATAACACTGAAGGCGTGGAGCTTCAACGTGGAATCGCTGCGTCGGGTGGGGAGGCTGGACAGCTTTGAGGTGCACTCGCTGGCGAGGTCTGGGCGAGGGCAGCGGGGCGGTTGCATTACGGCCATCAATCTCAAGTGCTTCCAGAAGGGCGAGGTCAGATGTCAGCACGCGTGGTTGGAGGGGAAGCTGCAAGGAGCACGGCTACGCAGTGTGAGCAAGAAGAGGTTCGAGCGGGACATCTACGTGCTGAATGGCTACGCCCCCACTAACGAGGCGGGACACGTGCCAAAAGGAACTGAAGCTGTGGAGTATAGAGAGAAGCACCTCGAGGCCAGAGATTTGTTCTGGCAGGTGTGTCAACGAGCAGTCGGCCAAGTTCCAGCAAGGGCGTCGCTCATTGCCACGCTGGGCGCCAACGCACACGTCCCGCCGCTGCTGCCATGGGTGGGGTTCGCTGGTGTGCGTAGGAATGGCCCGACGATTAACGCTAACGGCCACGCGCTGATGGAGCTCATGGGGGACTATGGGCTTATGACACTGAACACGTTTGGCAAGAGAGGAATATTCAACGGCACTTGGAGGAGCCCGCAAGGTACGTGGACTACAATTGACAACGTGTTGGTGCGACGGCGAGGAGGATACGGACATTCGTCGTTCCCGAGGGCTGATCTCCCTGTGAACTTGGGCGGCTACAGGGATCACAGGCCATTGGAGTCGCGCATCTTTGCGGGTGTGAAGGCAAAGACAGTGAAAGAAACATGCAAATTTCGATGGCGGAGGGAGCTCATGAGTGCAGATTTGTTGAAGGCGCAGCAGGCTGAGGAGGATCCGGACAACTTGGTTAGGCCCCCCGACCGCGTGCTCAATTTCAGGCTTCAAGTCTTGGAGGGACTTGAGGCAAAGGGGCTGCAGGAAGACTGGGCTGACATTTGCGGGGCGGGCATGCGCTACGAGTCCCCATCGGAGTACTTCAATGAGCTGGAAGGAGTTGTGATCGAGGCGGCGATGCAGGGCTACATATCACCACCAGTGGCGGGGGAGAGGATAGGCACAGTGTTCTGTGAGGAGACGGTGAGGTTGATTAGGCCGAAGCAGTACTGGCAGTATCAACTGGCAGCCCTTCCTGACGGAGCGCGGCGGTTGCGGGCACACTTCCAGTCGAGGTTCAACGAGGCCTCGAAGTTGGCGACAGTGGCTATCAGGAGTGAGAAACGGCAGAAGGCAGTAGCACTGTCGGAAGAAGCTGAGCGAGCGGCAGGCAAGAGAAACTTGAGGCGCCTACACAACATCGCGAATGAGTTAGCTCCCAAGCCTGCGGCCCCCATCATGACAGTAAAAGATCCAGACACAGGGCTGCCGTGTTTCGACGCTGAGGACGATCAGCGCGTGCGCACTCGGAGCATTTGCGAAGTGCGCAACGGTCAGGCGATGGAACTAGACGACAGACCCATCCAGGCAGGCAAGAATACGCGCGACGACGACAGGGCCGGCAGCTACGACATAGAGGCTGTGAAGGAGAGCATCATGGCGTTGCCCAACTTTGAAGGGGGCCCCACGCTAAGGTGGCCTAAATCTGGGCCGCCTGGAGGCGCTGTTGCTGAATTTTGGAAGCCGGCGATTGACACGCTTGCGCCGCCCATCCTGCAGGTCTTTAACGCGGCTCAGTCCCTGGGCGACGCCCCACAGAGGTTCAAGGGCGGCGAAACCATGCAGTTGCGCAAGCCAAAGTGAGATGGATGCACGGCGTCGAAGGACTATCGCACCATCAACCTGATCAGCCACGTGGGGAAGGCGTACGCCAAGGTCACGTCGCTTGCGGCGATGAGGGAAGTGGCGCCTAAGATTTCACCGGCGCAGTTTGGAGCCATGCCAGGGAGAGGTACACGTGACGCAGTGGCAGTGGTAGGGGAAGTGATTGTGCGCCACCAGCGAGCAGATCGAGTAAAAAGAAGAGGAAGTTCGTCTAAACCTCCGCTTATGCCGCTGGCAGTTCTCACAGACACCGAGAAGGCATTCGACGGGGTGGTCAGGGAAAACATTTGGAGAAGCCTGGAGGCGCTTGAAGTTCGGTGGGATGCCCGAGTGTCTCTGGAGGAGCTCCATGAAGGCATGTGCTACCTGTTCCGAAGCGTTGCCACTCATGAGCCTGTTGCACGGATTTGGGTCAAATAAGGAGTGCGTCAGGGAGGAGTTGAGAGTCCCGGGCTATTCGTGGCTGCCTATGACGGGATAGTGTATCGCATGTCGGATGAGCTTCGCCAACAGGAGGTTACTGCCATTAAGGTGCATGTCGATCCCTCGTTGAAGAAGATTCGGAGCAATGACGGCTTGAAGGATGACGAGTGCGAGGAGCTGATGTTTCGCAGCTAAAGTTATTAGACGACTTGCTCACGTTCGCGGAGATCGAGGAGTACGACGATGCATCCATCATACTGGAGGTGTTGCAAGGCGATATTAAAGCAGGAGGTATGCGCGTCAACACCAGGAAGACGGAGAGGCTGCTCACGCCGACGGGAGTTGGGAGCAAGAAAAGGTTGAAGGATATTCGAGCACAGAGCACAGGCATCGTGACGTGGGAAGGGGAAGACTTTTTCCCGCTGCACCCACAGCAGACGGTCAAGTACTTGGGGGTGGAGCTGGCGGCGACGGGTACACACCACGTGGAGGTCACCAGCCGCATCAGGGCCGCCAACTCCACCCATGCGCGCTTGCTCCGCCGCGCATTCAAGAGCGGGTTCAGCCCCAAGTTGAAAATCACATTATGGAAGGCATTGGTACGGTCGGTGTGCTTATACTGCTTGGAGATCGCCAACCTCACCAAGAGGGAGCTCAACAGGCTGGAGAGCTGGCAGGTGAGAAAACTTCGAGGTTTATTGAATTCGCCAGCTCACCTGTACATGAAAACCAATCGTGAGATCAGGAAGCAGGCCCTTACTCCGACGGTTGCGAGCACGTTGTTGCTACGGAGACTGAGATGGTGCAGAAAGGTGCTGTGGCCGGCCTTCAGGGAGCCCTGTGACGACCTGCACGACCCGACGCTTGCGGTCAGAGCAGTCGTCTTCGGACGCTTCTCGTTCCAGCAGATTGGCCAGGGGGGCAGTCGGGCCTGCTGACGTTGCTGCTGGAGGACATGCGGCAGATGTGGCAGACTGTGGACGCGCAGGAGAAGCTCGCGGCCCGTCCGCTTTTTCTGCTGCACGGCGACTCCCCTGGGCTGGATGAGCCTTGGCTGCGCTGGCTCGCCTTCTTTGAGCCGCGCAATTTCCGCCGTGTGCTGACTTACGGCGGTGGAATGGACATTGTGACTGACACGGCAGCCATCGTCTGGCTGGAGTGCGACCTGTGTGGGCAAAAATGCAATGGGGAAAAGGCGTTAGCCAATCACAAATACGCGGCCCATAAAGTATGCAAAACCAGCAGCAGAAGCCCTCACAGAGATGGACTTGAAACTTAAGGTGTGTCCTCACTGCCAGAAGATATTTACGAGAAAAGACACGCTGGTAAGGCACGTTAAACTGAAACGTTGCACTGTCCGTTCCAGAGAAGTTGAGGCTCAAGCTAGACATTCCGAACCACTAGAGCCCGCTGCCTCCTCTGCAGTACCAGTACCTGCCGCGGCGGGCGATGTTCAAGCCGATAGGCGAGGTGCAAGCGACGGTGGGCAGCAACGAGAGCAAGAGGACGGCGGCAGAGGCAGGGGTCGTGGGCGAAGGCAAGGGCGACCAGCCCGACGTGGTGGGCCCCTTGGCCAAGGCGCTGGCGCGGCTGGTCCTGCAGCACGAGGACATGGCGAGGTCGGCGAACAGGGGCGACAATTTCGTGATCCCGCTCAAGCCGAAGCAGAAGATGGCGGCCGCGCTGGACCAGGCTCTGACGTTCTACGAGGAAGAGGGCACCAGGGCCAAGGAGAAGGCGAAGGAGAAGCAGGATGAGTTCATGGGCAACCCACTCGGCAAGCGCCCCGACGCACTGGCGAGGGCAGTTATGCTCCGCATGTCGAACCCGTGGAGGACAAGAAGGATGCAGCGCTGGCGGCCGCGGAGCAGGGCATCGAACCGCAGGCCGCCAGGGCCGCGCTGGACGAACTCTTGAAGGTTGGGAAGGTGGTGCAGGACCCGCAGATGAAGTTCGTGGCAACGAGGTGCTTCAAAGTGGAGAGCAAGAACGACGAGGAGGGCCTAGAGACAGGAGAGTGCAAATGGATCTTTGCGGTGAACCACTACCCAGGGCTGAACGCTAAATCTGTTGAGGCGCAATGGCGCACTGGCCGCTGTAGGGGTGGGCCTCCAGTACGACATCGCGACGAGGTCGAAGGCGGCGAAGGAAGTGGAGCCGTTGGCGTTCAAGGGCGGAAAGGGTACGCAGACGAACAGGAGCAAGAAGCTCAGGAAGAAGTAGGTGCCCGAACGACGCTACCTGCTCTGGCCGCAACTGCGACGCCCACAGCTGCGACGCCAGCACCTACACCAGCATCGACGCCAGCACCAACGAGTGAGGGGAGAGGCTTTGCCGCTGCCGCCGAGAATAGTACTCCTCCCTCCGCCTTTACCTCGCCGTTTTACATCCCTCTCCCCCTTCCGACCTCCCAAACGCAGCTCGAGAAATACTTTCGTAAGGGGCCGCGCTAATAATGCGGTGGACCTGTTTGCGCCTTCCTCCTCACCAGAGGGGGGGGGGGGGGGGGGGGGGGGCGCGCCCCCGCAAGCGCCGCTCCCGCAGGGGTGGGGGCGCGCGGGAGCGGCGCCCGGGCTGAGGCCAGTCGGGCCTGCCGCTCTGCACCCGCTGTCCGTTCCAGGGCTTCGTTTCCGATGTTGACACGCGCCGCGTCGTTTTCACGGTTGTGCTGAAGCCCCCCGCTAAACTTCCAAGGCTAAGGGAGTCGCGTCGAAAAAAAGGAAGCAGGCGGCAGCAGGCGGAAGCGGAAGCAGGCGGAAGCTAACGAACGCCGACGAAACCCGAGCGCCACAGGTCACGATCGAGCAGGACTACAAGTCCCCCAAGCCGCAATAGCTCGATTGGCGCCAGACACGACACGCTTGCCGCACCGCGCTCGCCAAGGAGTACGCGATCATGAATTGCGAGCAGATCGTCAAGGGCGACGCCCTCGAGCTGGGCACGGTGCGCGCGCTGCTGGGCGAGATCGAGGAGCGAGTGGGCGCCACTGACAACGCGCTGGCGGCCGTGCCCGCAGCGGCCGTCGCCTGGGCTCGAGGGCCAGGGCGAGGGCGCACCCGCCGCCCAGCAGCCCGAGGAGCAGTGGCGCTGGGCCGAGAGGGCCGACAAGGCCCAGCACGTGCTGGTCTGCGTTCAGTCCGAGGCGCCCGCGCACTACGCGCACCTCAAGGTCGGCGGTTGCTGCAATGTCCCCCCCGCCCCAGGGCGCCTCCAGCGTTTCGCTCCGGTTTGGAGCGAATCCTGGAGGCGCCCTGGGCAGGGGCCACTTGCGGCAATCCCCGTCAGGTCACGAGGATCGACGGGGGCGGCGTCGAGGTGGACTACCGCGACGCCCTCGAGCAGCCGCCCGAGAACGCCAAGCAGGCCCAAAAGGGCCACGTGCAAACTCACGCCTACACTCTACGATTTCTGAGGGGGAAGTGGGGTTCACTTTGCTCGGGGGCTGCCAAGCGAAGTGTGCCCCGCCCTCCTCCCCTTCAGAAATCGCGGGTAGGGTTCGCACGTGGCCTCCCAAGGCCGCCACGAGGATCCTCCGCGAGCTCGGCGCCATTGGCCCTGGCGAGCCTTGCCCAGCACCGAGCAACAGACGGTGCCAAGTCGACGTTTGGAGCTGCGGCCTCTGGGCAAGCCGCTGGATCGAGCGCGCCCTACGCGAGATCCGAGGCGAGGGCCGCCAAATTCCGGCAGCTCTCCACGCCGTGGTCGCTCGAGGGAACGAGTTATCGGTAAACTCAAGGATGCGAGCGACAACGACGCGGCGATGGCCGAGGCCAAGGCCAAGGCCAAGCACAAGTCCAAGCCTTGCAAGGACCCCACGGCGGCCAAGCCGCAGTGCGCCACCTACGAGGAGGCTAGCGCCGCCGCCCAGCTTTGGACCAAGTGCCTCCCATGCAAGGGCGGCTCCGAAGGACGCCGCGCCCGCGTGGGAGAGTGGTTCGACGTCCAGCGCAAGAGGGGCTTCTTGGCCAGATCGGCCAAGGACCTTCTTGCGCTGGAGCAATCTGGGCGCCCAGCCACGAGCCTAGAGATCGCTCGAGTCAGCCTTGCGCCCTGCGCCTCAGCGGGCAAGTAACCGCGAGCCTCGAGATCTCCCGAGTAAGCTCTGCGTAGCGCGCCTCTGCGGGCAAGTGGCCGCGAGCCTCGAGGTCGCTCGAGTCCGGCTTCTGTCGTGCGCTTGGTTTAACCTCCTCCTCCTCCTCCTCCTCCTTCTCCTCCTCCTCCATCATCGCCACCGCCATCGTCATCATCGCCCCCATGACTTACCTCCCCCGGGAAAATCCTTTATTACACCCGCGGGGGCCGCTGACTTTCTAATCCCAGGGGGGCTATTATCGCAAATGTTTTGTTATATCGGCGCACCCCTCACACGTTTCGTGGCCCCGCACACGTTTTGGTGACCTTCTCTCGGTCTCGTGGATTCTCGCCCTGGGTCGTCGGCTGTCCGGCGCGCTGCCCCCCCCCCCCCCCCTTGGCCGACGTCGCTCCGACGTCGCTCCGGCAGCGGCCGACGCTAGGTGGGGGGCGGCAAGAAGGAGGGCGACGACTGGCGGTTGGAGCTCCACGCGCTGCTCTCGCGCGCCACGCGGCACGAGGGCCTCCTGCTCATGCGGGCGCCGCGCGTCGAGTTTTTTTCCTGGCAGGGCCGCCGGAGGGATTGCGGAAGCAGCCGAAGCAGTTTGCTACGCGCGCGCTGCGGCGCAGGAGGGAGGCGACGGCCCTCGCCAGGGAGCTGGGCTTCACCGAATGGATCCGCGAGGCTTGACTTGAAAAGCGACCCGCCCGAGCCTCGCCGTCTCTCGACGGTCTGATTGTTTGGATTCGCGCCGCGCGCAACCCGCGCGCGTCGCTGGGGCCCTCTCGGGGCGACCAGAGCCTCGCTCGCCCCCGTCGTCGCTCTGCCCAGCGGCCACAGCCCTGCCCGCTATCAGCCAGCCAGCTAGCTCTCTCTGCTCCGCGCAGCGGACGACCCGCGCGCGTCGCCGGGGCCATTCCGGGGCGACCAAGGCGCGTCGCGGGGGCTCCGCGCGGCGCCGCGCCCGCAGCCTTGGACATGGGCGCGCTCGGGCAAAGAGGGAGAAACATAACGGGACGGAAGCGGGCGCGATCCTCGTGAGGAGCGTGCTGACGTGGGCGTCGCGGGTGCGGGCGTTGCCGTCGGGGCCCCAGGGGGAGCTTCCCGCGGCGGCTCAGCGTCACGAGTACTCAGGGTCAGGCATGCGCGAACCATTCACATCCGTGTGTATATATATATATATGTATATATATAGAGTTTTGTTTAGCCTTGCTTAAACAGGGATATTCACCCACGGCAGTGCAACGGCTGCTCCCCTGTCTTCCTCCTCTTCCTTCCCCCCCGCAGCTGTTTCAGCTAGCTTGTGCCTTTTGCGGAGGGGGTGCCCCCCTTAACTCATGTTTGGCCTCGCCTGCCTGGCGGCCCCGCTTGTCTCGGCCGCCGCGGTCCTCTGTGGAGTGGGCCGTCTCGCCGCAGGGACCCACCCGTCCCCCGGGGCGCGGAGGGGATACGGGCACCCCGTTTGGCTATCACGGGACCCTATCACCTGCGGGCTGGATGACGCCCCACCCGATCCACTAGAGCATTATCCGGGTGGCGACCCCAAGGAGCAGTCTCCCCCTCGACAGGGAGCCCTTGGGCCGGACGCCCCCACAGCCCCAGACCCGGCCGCCGCTCAGGACGGGAACCACCCCGAGCTATCTCTCGGGAGGGAGGGGACTTCCCCACCTCATCCAACCTCGCAGCCCCTACTTTGACTCCCATCCTCTCCCCCATCCAGGGGAGATCCGCCAGGGCGGGAGGCTCGGCCCAAGGCAGCACCCCGGGTGGCACGCCTACCCCCCTCTGGCGGGGGGAACTCGCGTCGTTCGCGCTCGCCCCGGCATCGCCGCAGGCCAGCCCCACAAGCGTGGACGTGCCGCCCGGACGCTGGGGCGACCCCCTTGGGTGGGCCCGCACGCCAGCCCCCCCGTCTGCCACACCGGCGGTGAGTCCCGCCGAAGTGAGGACGCCTTCGCCGACCCCGCCGGAGAACACCCCAGGTAGGACGCCGACCCCGTTCTGGTGGAGCTTCTCCGCCCCCGCCGAGCCCCCCGCGCTTGCGGGGCCAGGCTCGGGAACCGTCCCCCCGCCGCATCCGGCCCTCCGCGGGGGGCACACCTCCCCCGCTCCGCAGCCGGGGGACGGGCTACCCTGGTCCAAGCAAATCCCCGCGGAGGAGTTCGTGGAATGGCTGAGGTGGGCCTCTCCCACCCCCACGGAGGAGGAGCAGGAGGAGGCGGACGCGACCCCCTGGTGGGAGAACCACTGGTTTGCCGGCCGCCGCCGGGAAGTGGTGCTGGAGGTCCGGAGCGTCCCTAGCCCCAACTTCTTCTTCCGCCTCATCGTGTGGTCCTACGGATGGCTGGATGCCGGCCTGACCGTCCTCGTGGGGGAGAGGTGGGTGAGCTTTAAGGTAGTCGTGTACGTGCTGGGCTCCTTCTACCTGGGCGCCATGGGGATCTGCTTTCTGGTCCTCCTCCTCGACCACCTGGCCCGCCCCTTTTTCTGGTTCTACCGCCGTCTAAGGCGCTCCCCCACCTTCCGCGATTTCTGCACCCGGGTGGAGGACAACCGCCGGTTCCTCCTCGATCTCGACTGGAGGGGGCCTGATGCCCAACCCGTGGACGACGACTTCTTCAAGGACATCATCCGAGGGAGGAGCGACCAGCCCCCGAGGCTGCCCAACCACCTCGTGGCCGAAGTCGGGGGCCAGCGGGCACGCCTGGATCGAGGGCAGCGGTGACCCCATCCGGAAGGAGAAGCGGGCGGGCCAGGACTTCCCGTACGCCCGGGTGCATGACTGCACGGACCCTGACCTCCGACGCCGCCTGGAGGGTGCGGACATCAAGGTGGTCCACCTCTGCGGGCGGGACCCGTGGGCGGCTGTCCCAGCGTGGACGCCTTCGCCATGCACTTCCGGAAGTATACCGCGGTCGACGCCAAGGCCATCCTCGACCTCACCGAGGACAGGGACCTGGGAAGCCCCTTCCTGGCCGGCTTCCGCACCCTCTGGAGGGCATTCTGGGGTGGGGTCCAGCGCATCGCCCATTCCTTCTTGGCTCGGGGTTGTTGCTGTTGCCGGAGGGGGGCCCGCCTGCACCGGCCGGGGCCACGCCAGGTCACCGCGAACCCCCGGGGACCTCAGCAGGAGGAAGACGACTGGGAACCC